TGCTTGGTGGATGGAGCTTGTCACTTTGACCTTGTCCATCTGTCCATGTGAGAAACAATCTCAGCTATAGGCAGGCTCTGCTGGGATTGGTGAGCCAATCAGACTTGTCCATTGCTTTGGTAGTCTGGTGTGGCTGGCAGAAGAGGGCACTGAGCTGTTCCCTTCTCAGAGATCTCCTCAAGGTCACGTGCAAATTAGAAAAAGGCACCCCAAGTCCACATGCTCCTGGCTCATTGGGGTAGAGTGTAGGCTGCACTTCAGTGACAACCCCAGGGAAGGACTGGGTGTGCAACCTGTACACCTGAATGTGGTGGCCACAGGGTTGAGGTAAGGAAGGCTTTTCAAAAGAGGCAGCTTGTGAGCTGCTTCTTAAAAAATGAGTGGGAACTGCCAGGTAGAGACAAGGATTGTCTCAAGGGTGGGGGCAATTCAGGCAGAAAGCACAGCAAGCGCAAATGTGGGGAGGAAGGGAAGGCCCTGATGTGGAGGGACTGGAATGTAGGGGGTATGGTTTGTACTGCTTTCCTCCTCCTTCTTGCAGTGGGAGCTCGTGTGTGTGTGTGTGTGTGTGTGTGTGTGTGTGTGTGCCTGTGTAGGTTCTACCCTCACTAACCCTCCCTCTTTTCCCACCCTCAGCTTAGCCAGACCCCTGGGCCTGACTGCCCCATCTTCCTGCCCAGTGATTGTGAGTGGGACTGGCTGCAGGCCAAGACGTGGGTGCGCTATGCCGAGTTCTACTGTCACGAGGCCATCGCGCACCTGCTGGAGACCCACCTCATCGGCGAAGCCTTTAGCCTGGCCATGCTGAGGCACCTACCCATGTGCCACCCTCTGTACAAGGTATGGGCTTGGGGCAGGGGCCCACAAAGCCTCATGCTGGCTCAGCAGTAAGAGGGCATCCAGAAAGCCTTGGGAGGCATCTGGGAACCCACCAGAGCTGGTCTGGTGTTGCACAAGTGGTGATGCTGAGGCCCTCTGGGGGCATCCTCAGCTCTCTCTCATTATCCTTCTTGCTTTCCTGCCCAGCTCCTCATCCCCCACACCCGCTTCACTGTCCAGATCAACAGCATCGGGCGGGCCCTTCTCCTTAACGAGGGTGGGCTCTCTGCCAGGGTAAGAGTTCTGCTCCCAGTCCCAACAGGACCCCTGCTGCTCTCTGGCCTTTGCAGTTAGACTTTACCCTTGCCTTTGGATCCTGGGGTGACGGAGGGAGGGGAGGGGTTAAAGTGGGCTCTGTGGGTATCAGGGGACAAAGTCAGGAGCTGGGTGTTCTGGCTTGGACCGAGAGAGCTTCCAGGGCCAGGAGGCTGGGCAGGGGTTAGGGACACCCTCGCCGTGTCTCTGAGCCCTGGGGAGCAGGCTTTGGGGGTGCCATTCCAGCTCCAGGCTCTGCATCTTCCCTCATAGGCCATGAGCCTAGGCCTGAAGGGCTTTGCTGAGGTGATGGTGCGGGCTCTGTCTGAGCTCACCTACGACAACCTCTGTGTCCCCAATGACTTCATGGAGCGTGGGGTCCAGGACCTCCCTGGGTACTATTTCCGCGATGACAGCTTGGCAGTGTGGGATGCAATGGAGAGGTGAGGTCTGGACAGCAGTGGGTGGCATGGGGGAGGAGGGGTGGACACCATGGGATGTTGTCAGGGGTATGGGAGATTTAGGGACCTGAGCCTGGTGTCATCCTGAGGCTTGGCCTTGGGGGTAGGTCCGGGATCTCTGTGTCCTTCACATGCCGGCTCCCTAGGCCTGATTTAGCCCCCCAGCCCACTTCTGCTGGCCAGACCTCTTCTGGGTTCTGAGCCGCCTGGGGCATCACCTGATCTTACTGGCAAACCCTCTGAGCATCTTCTGACCTTCCCAAGCTGCTCTCTTCACCTCTGCCCCACAGGACTTGGTTCCCCACAGGCTTGGGGCAGCTCTGGGGTCAGCCAAGGCCAGGCAACCTGAGGGAGGAGGGAGAAGCACAGTTATGGAGCGGGAGGGGAGGCTCCAAACTGAGGCCCTGTCCTCTGGTCAGGTATGTGACGGACATCATCACCTATTATTACCCAAGTGATGCAGCTGTGGAGGGTGACCCGGAATTGCAGTGCTGGGTGCAGGAAATATTCAAGGAGTGTTTGCTAGAGCGGCAGAGCTCAGGTATGGGTGTGAGAGCTCAGTGGGGGCCTGGCACTGAGGGGTGGTCCCCAGGCAGGTCCACCAAGGCCCTCCTGGTCTAGGCAGAGACCATCTCTTTGTGGGTTGAAGGAAGCCAAACCACAGCCCTAGGATCTCCTCAGGGCTCTACCCTGGCCCCTGGAGCAGCGGCATCTCAGAGAGGCTGGGGAAGAAAACATGACTGACCACAGGTGTCTGAGCTCAAACAATATGGGGCATCTCTGCAGAGGCCTAGAGAGGTCCCAGTTCCGCATCCTAGAAACAAACCTTTGTAGAATGAGAAATGGGGTGTGAGTTCCAATGGGAAAGAACAGGGTGTGCTGGAGGCTGGGGCAGGCAGTGGTGGCAGCCTCCAGTTGAGGGGTAGAAGGTGTCGGGAGGTTACACCACTTGAGTGCACACTCAGCAAGCATTTAGTGAGCAGCTATGTGATACTGGGCTGGTTATTGAGGGCACGAGAGAGAACAAGACAAATGAAGGTATCTACCCTCAGGGCATTCATGGCCTGGGCTGGGGGGGTGTTTCATTCAGTGATGAGCAGTTCTGCTAAGGTGGGTCTGCGATGGTTTAGGGGAGCCTAGAGAGGGGGCTAGAAGAGTCCAGGGAAGACACCTAGCCAGCTGGGTTGGGATGGTGGAGACAGAGTGGGAGTGGGAAACAGCAAGCTAAGGTCACCTAACATCTGACTAAGATCTGCAGAATGAGCAGTTATTGGTGAGCTGACAGAGCATGGGTGGGTGGAGGTGAGGTTGTGTTCGGGAGTTACATGTGGAAAGGCCCAAAGGCCAGAGACAACATAGTGGATCCTGCTGATTGGAGTCCAGTTCCCTGAAGGTGAAGCTACAGGGTGGAGGTAGGTAGGCTCCCCGTGGGCTGAGGCTGAAGCCATGACAGAACAGGGGTCATTGAGGGGTTTGCAAGGAGATCAGACTTAATGAGGCTGCATTGGTGGTGTCAGGGGACAGTTTGGGAAGTCCACAGGGGAGATGACAGAACCTGACCAGGGTGAGGGCTGTGGCATGAAGAGAATTCCAGAGCTGCTTGGGAGCTAGAAATGACAGGACTTGGTGATTGAGGGTGGGGGTAGGGTGGGGAGAGAGAGGGGCCAAGGTGACCCCCAGGATTGGGGCTTTGTCCCTCATTGGATGGTGTGTATTCTCCCTTGAGGTGGGGACCCAGAAAGGAGGGATTTAGGAGGATAATATGAGCCTAGTTTGAATGTGTGGAGCATTTGTTATCCACGGTCACCATGGCAACCTGGCTGGCCACTCCCCTGGGATGACAGAAAATCTGGAAGAGGTGTAAGGGCCAGGGCCAGGCTACTGAGAAACCCTTCCAGAGCGTAGTCTCAAAGGGGGTGGGGGGGTGTGATAGCCAGGGCAGGAAAGCCAGGACTCTTCCAAAATGAGAGAAGCCTCCCACCTCACACCCCAGGCCTGGGACTAGAGATGTCCCCTCGGGGAGCTGGAAGAGCGATCTGAGGACCTCACCTCAGGCAGGTGCCAAAAGCAGCCTGTGAAGACATCTAGCCAGGGCCAGCCCATCCCCTGCCCTTGTGGTCTGGACTGGGAGAGATGGGGTTACAGCTGCTGGAGGGCAGAGCAGGCAGGGTGAGGATATGGAGGCCGCTGCTTGGAATCTTAGAATGTTGTTAAGACTAGGGGAGCTCCGCTTGGAGGTGCCCTCTGCCAGGCAGCCAGGACTGGGGCAGGACTGATACTGTCTCGTTGGTTTCTGCCCTTCAGGCTTCCCCACGTGCTTGCGAACAGTGCCTGAGCTGATCCGATATGTCACCACCATCATATATACCTGCTCTGCCAGGCATGCAGGTGTCAACTCAGGCCAGGTACCCAGCCCCCCCTAAATTTTGCCCCATCTCAAAGCCAATCTCATCCACCATCCTGAGTCCCTCCTCAACCAGTCTTGAGCTGTGTCTCAGCTTGGACTGGTCTCAGTTGAAACCCTGGACCCAGCCTTTCAACTCAGACCCACACCCCAGTCCAGCTCCAGCACCACCAGTCTAAACCAACCCAGTGCAGGCTCAGCCTGCTGGGACAGGAGTCCAAGACAACTGTGGCAGAGAGTGGTCAGAGCCTGGTGGACCAGAACTCCCGGGGTGCTCTCTGATCAGAGGCCCAACTCCTCCTTCAGCTGGAGTTCACCTCCTGGATGCCCAACTTCCCCCCCTCCATGCGGAGACCGCCGTTGGAGGCCAAGGGGCTCAGCACTCAGCAGACCTTCATGGATACGCTGCCTGACGTGAAGACCACATGCATCGTGCTCTTGGTGCTCTGGACACTCAGTCGAGAGCCCGATGACAAGGTGCGGGGTCAGGGTGGGGGACACTGAGTGAAGGCAGGGGGCTGGGAGGTGGGGGAGGGCAAGGATAGCAGGGGTGTCAATGGCAGGGCATGGAAGGCTGCTGAAAAGAGGGCCCTGGAAGGCGGGTGTGGGTCCAGCTTCAACCCAGGACCCTGTTTGGTGTCGGCAGCGGCCCCTTGGCCACTTCCCCGACATCCACTTCGTGGAGGATGCGCCGCGCAGGAGCATGGAGGCCTTCCGCCACAGGCTGAACCAGATCTCGCACGACATCCGTCAGCGCAACAAGTGCCTCCCCATTCCATATAACTACCTGGACCCTGTACTGATCGAGAACAGCATTTCTATCTAAGGTGGCTCCCTCGCCTCGCCTCTCACCCTGCGCCCTTTTATTTTCCAGTAAAATCACTTCAAATACTCGCCCTGGGTCTATGAGTGAATGTGGCACTTTACTCTGCGTGTGTGTGTGCGTGTGTGTGTGTGTGTGTGTGTGTGTGTGTGTGTGCCCACGGGTGGAGGCTAGGAGCTTACACTATGGTGCTGTTTTCCACCACAGTGAGGCCCAGGTAGGTGTAGGGCAGTGCCAAGCCCCAGTTCCATTCCTGGATGCTCCTGGAGATCTGGGCCAGGCGGCTCTGGATTGCAGCAATGCTGTGCTGTGGGGCCTCCTCCGTGAAGAGCTCATCTGGGTAGGTGCTCAGCCTTTGCTGGGGACAGTGAGAGGGGTATTAACCTGGCACCTCGGCCCCATATTTTAACCCACAATGATTCTTGTCTATCTGAAAACCTCCTTACCTGGAGACTTAGTCCACCCAATCCCTGCCCACCCAGGGGAGCCAGATTACCCAAGACCCCTTCCTTTTGAAACATAAACCACCTACCCATCTACAAAAAACCTAAGCCACCTCAACCATGAGCACTTTGAAAGCCAGACCACTCTAAGGTCCACCTGCTAGGAATCCACACCCCCCTAAACCACACCCACCCTTGACCACCTAGAAGCCAGCCTGCTGAGTGCACCCTCCCTTCCACTCCTTCCCACTTCTCTGGAAGCTGAGGGCCCTCCCAGCCCTGCCATGATCCTTGCTTACAGTGTCCTTGGTTTCACTGCCGACATTCCAGAAGAGCACGAGGGCATGGTGGGTAGCACTGACCTCAGGGAGTGAAGCCAGCAGGTCGGCCTGGCCTTTGGCAGTGGGTGGAGGGAGCCATATGGTGGTAGGAATATTGGGCATCCAGGAACTGGATTCATACTGACCCCACCAGATTCAGTTAGCACAGAGCTCCTGTTAGGCCCTCTCCTCCTGTTATCCTGTTTGTCCCTCCTGCTCATGTTGGGCTGAGCAGGTGAAGATGATCATGATGAGATACTGGGTGAGGCCAGCACAGCTGTCCAGGGAAGAGGGGACCCCTAGAAGGCAGTGTGGTGTAGGGAACAGAGCTGAGACCAAAAGGGCTGCTGCCCTGGGGAAGTGGGGTCTGGAGGGTGGGAGACCAGGATGGATGCCTCACCTGAGCTCATACAGCTTTATAACCCCTCCTGGAAGATTTCCTTGACCCAGGCCTGGAGCTCCAAGTTCCTGCTCACTGCCCTGTCCTCCAGTTAGTAGATGTCAACAATATCCATCACAAAGCTGGAGATCCAAGAATACAGATAAAGTATCCTAGTAACCCAATGCTGCCCAAGGGTAACAGGTTAGAAGGGGACAATGAAACCAGCAGCCCCAAAAAGAAGAAATTCAGGCCAAGGAAGGAAAATGGCCAAGCACACAGTATGAATTGCAAGGCTGAGTCTGATCTTTACCCAGTCTGAGGGCCAAAGTTGGTCTGCAGATGGGTGTTGATTTGTTGACAGGTTGTGTTTATTTTTTAAGTTGAAGCACTTGCCAGCATTTATTTACTTTTTTTTTGGAGACAGGGTCTTGCCTCAGCCCTGTAAAGTACTGGGATTACAGGCATGCACCAGGACACCCACCTACTTGCCAGCATTTAAATATTAGATGTCTGGCTTCTCTTGAAAAATATGAAGATCTGGCAATAGTCATGGCGGGGTCCCCATTGTCTCCATCAAACATGAGTTCACCCCTGGCCAGAGTCCCTGCCCACCTGTTCTTCCTACCTTTTTTCTACTTCCTGGTTCTGTGGACACTGAAGTTCCCACAGTGGGAGCCAGATCAAGCCACAAGAAGGATTAGACACCAGGACTGTCTATGTCGGGACTCTCTAGTTGAGTAAAATTCCTCCACTGGTCCCGAAAGGGCCATCCATCTCCAGCCAGGGAAGGGCTTAAGAAGGGCATCCAGAGCCACTATGAAGAAGGGTGGGTACAGACAGCTGCTGCTAGGTGTACCTTACAGGGGCAATGGTGGGGGACTGCCAGGGAGAGGTGGGGCCTGTGCCAAGTTTGAAGCAGGAAGTGTTTGGATAGGAAGAGAGGAAGAGGTTGGGGTACCTTGCCTCTCTAACCCAGTATGAGCTCAGAAGAAAGAATGGAAAGGGGAGGCAGGTTCTGAGGGAGTTAAGATGCTGCAGCAAATGCATAGTTACATGTAGCAAGAAATTGAGGGCTGGAGATTTAGCTCAGTGCTTCCACCACCTGCCTCGAAAGCAGAAGGACCCGAGTTCAATCCCTGGTACCAACAACAAAAAAAGTGAAAGTAATGGAGCCAAGAGCAGCAGCAGTGCTGTCACAAATCCCAGGAGGAAGTCATGCCACAGCTGTTGGCAGGGGTTAGGGACTCGCAAGGCCAGACATCAAGAAGACCTGACCACTAGAGTCCCAAGGAGATCTTGCATAAGGAAGATTTAGGGAAAACAAAACAAAACGAAAACCTGGAAACTCAGTGACTATCTATGGGTGAATAGCTAGTGCTCAGAGAACACTTCTTGTTTGCTGAGGTTTGTTCTTAGGCTTTAACCTTTGATCCTAATAACAGTCTGAGGTAGGGGTTCTTATCCCCAGTGTCAGATGAAGAGATAGGCAAGGAGAGGTTAAGAGATTTGCCCAAGGCCACACAGCTGGGAAGAGGAAAGTAAAGCAGGAAGGCACTGAGGGACAGCAGGTGTTTGGGCAAGAGATGGGGGAAGCTGAACAAATCTGGGAGGTGTGGCAGATGTTGGGAGGCTCGGGGCCTCAGGTGCCAGGGCAGCTTCACTTCTCCGTGGCTGCCCAGATCCTGAGTGCTTCATCTTGGTAGTGGTAGTTGGGGAGTCCTGGACCTCGAGGTCAGTCAGCTGGTGGGGTAGGCACAGGAAGTGGTAGGTGACAGCTACCAGCCCTCTGGCGATCAGTTCCAGGGAGCCTTCCCGTCCAGCGACGTGGACTATAATGAACAGAGAGCCCACTGCTGTAGGCTGGGGGGTGGGATCTGGACCAAACCTCAGCCCCCTTGTGCCCCGCTGCCAAATATGGGGACTCCAGGCCCTGATCTGATGGATGAGCTTTCCTGGTGCAAAGAGCCTAGTGCGAACTTGGATGTTGATGTGGAAGGCGTAGCAGAAACGAGGAATGAGCAGCTAGGGAGAGCCAGAGCCAGGTGTGAGGAGAGGCGGCCCCAGGTCTCCCACAGCTCCAGGCACCGAGACGAGCCCTCTTCCCTACCTTGAAGATGGAGTGGCACATGGGCAGCTGCTGCAGCAGGGACAGAGCAAAGGTCTCTGCCACAAAGTGGGTACAAAGCAGATGAGTGATGATCTCGTGTACCAGGAACTCTGAGTGTTGCACCCAGGTCTTGGCCAGGAGCCAGTCCTCACCTGGGTCACTGGGTAGGGAGATGGGACTATCAGGGCCAGGTGTCTGAGTGATCTGGAGTGAGGCGACAAGGGAGGAGGGGCATCGGGGAGGAAGCCAGGAGGTGTAGCCCAGCACTATGGCCATGGCCCCAAACCACACGGTCTGTTTCCTGACTGTGTGACCTTGGGAAAATTAACTAATTTCTCTGTGACTCAGGTTCCTTCTTGAAAAACAAAGTTGATGATAATAATCTCTTCAGTAAGTGAGTGACTCAAGGCCTCCTCCTTTGTACCAGCTCAAAGTCATGCAGATTCCCAGCTATATGGGGCAGAGACAGGAAAGATAGGAAAGGATGGTGCAGAAACACCTCTTGGAAGGGGTTGGGGTTTTTTTGGTACTGGGGTACTGGGGATTGAACTCAGGACCTTGCACTTGTGAGGCAGATGCGGTGCCACTGAGCTAAATCCCCGGCCCCGAAGGCGTTATGTTTTAACTGCTGGAGACATGATCGAACTGTCAAAGGTGTGTGTTTCAGTAAGTTTTGACACCCAGGTCAAAACGCAATTTGTTCTTGGACTATCACAACCTTTGTATTAAGATGGAAATCAAAGAGGACAAACAGAAAGAGGAGAAAACATCAAGCTAGGTAGGGGTTGGGGAGCATTACAGATATGATGCCTAGCACTAGGAATGGCAGCATTGTTGACACCACCTTGCTACCTGCCAGCCCACCAGTCCCCAGGGCCTCGGCTGCTGACCTGGATGGTGAGGGGCAGCGGGAGCCCACTAGTGGGTCGCTGGTGCAGCAAGGTCAAGGGCACAGACATGAACTGGGGCCTCCCATTAATGATGCTGGGGTGGAGGCCCAAGAGGATGGCATGGTCCACCGGATACAGAAGGCCCTTATGGGGGCAGGAAGAAGGAGGGAAAGGAGGGCTGAGGCAGTTCCGGGCAGCTTTGGAGAGGGTGAGGGAGTTACTCAAAAGCTGAAAGTATTTCACTTAAAGGAATCTCATTCTCTGGAGCTAGTCATCTGGCCTCTGGATTCCATCCCAGAGGTTCCTTCTGGTTCTAAGGAGATTTTCCACCTGAGTATGGGAGGTGCTTTTGCAGAGGCCAGGCCCAGCATCAATGACAGGCAGTGGGAGAACTGAGCCCCTCTTGGGGGCCAGCCCAGGAGGCAGAGGCATCATCATCTCATCTCAGTGGTCCAGACTGGGGAGAGCCGGCAGCTTTTGGAAGTGCTCAACAAACTGGCAGTAGGGCATCCTCAGTAATCATGGCAACCAGTTCATCAGCATGGTTCTGAGCCATGGGGCTCTGGCAATCCACTGAGCTGAAAAAAGGACTAAAAGAGGGCATCCCCACTCAGTCCTGCCACCTGGGCCCTCAAAATCTCAGGACCATGCTATTCTCCGAGTGTTGAGTGGGTGTGGCTGGTCTGGAGGACTGGGTGAGCAGGCTGAGAATGAAGGGGCTTGACAGGAGTGGGCAGGATAAAGGTAAGCCAGGGCTGGGTGGAAAAGACAGACAGTGGGGGATTGGGAGCTTGGACACATGGGCTCCTGAAGGTTCCAGAAGGCCAGGCAAGGCAGACTGGATCCCTGGCTCCCTCCCCTCCAGTTCAGCCTGCAGACTGGTCTCAGGGCCCAGCAATGGGGCCACCATAGCATCAGTGACAGGGAAGATCTTTGGGAGGCAGTGGCAGTGGTGGATCAGGACGGGGTTGAGGCCATTCAGGATCTGTGAGGTGAAGAAGGCATCCTGCTGCTAGTGCTCAAACACATACTCTGCAGGGGGTGGACACGAACAGGATGATCCTGGTCTCCTGCCTCCAGCTCTACCACTGCTTTCTGACTTCCGGGCATGCCATTTCCTGAGGCTGATGGGGTGGGCCAAATTCCCTTCCTCCCCAACCGACTGTGACTATCAGTGAGTGATTTCTCAGGAAATAAGAGATCAGAGGTTTGGCATCTGCTTGGGAGTTCCTGGAAGCTTTCTTGGCCCCACCCATTTTGAGGGGAATCCTAAGGTGGTGTGCTCAGAGACCAACTCTTGGATGACAGAAGAATTTGAGAATAACCAGCCCTGCCCATACTTTGTAGGCTTCCACTCCACAGCAGTCCCTCCAATTCTCTTTCCAAAGTCACCAGTTCTGTGACCCATTCTCCTGCAATTTTACTATGAGGCAGTTTGAATAATAAGTTTACACTACTTTGCAGTGTGGCACTGGTGTTAGGGATGTTGAACCAACATGTATAGTTTGAACCCAGAGTACACCTAAGGAGGACAAGGACATTGAAGAGAGAACACCCCTAATCCCGCAAGTTTCAGTTCTGCATGTCAAGACCCCAACTAAGGAGAGCAATTTTGAAAGGAGTCTTTTTGGTTCAGAGGATTTTTTTCTTAATTTGCTGAAGCTATTCACAGGACAGGTTTTTTTTTTTCTTTTCAATTTTTTGACATTCCAGGCAGTTTGAAGAAGTAGTTGGGGGAGGGGGATGATTAGCAAACAGACCTGAGAGCTCTGACTTAATTTCCCCAGCTTTAGGAGCTTGGCTTGCTTTGTGAAACAGAGGTGGCAGGTGTGCAGAGAGGCTGAAAGAGAAGCTTTTGTGCCAGGAAGTGTGTGTAACTCCTGGGTGCCTTGATGAAAAGGGGGAATTGTTAAAGCTACTTTTGGATCATCTTTGCGGGGGCTCTGCTAGGTGAGAATGTCTAGATGAACCATTAGGAAATACATTTGTAGGGGGCCTCCTCCAGGACCCCTCACCCCCTGCCACCTGTCTTTCCCACATAGAGGCTAACCTGGCTGGCAGCTCTGGCTGACAGAGAGTGCACTACTCAGGACAGAAATGAGGGCCATAGCCTGCTCACCCTCCCTCACACCATAGACCTGACACTGGGGACTTGGGGAAGACAAAGCTGTGCTGGATCTCATCCTGGCTTCTCCAAGGTGTCGGATTGTCCAGCAGTCCCTGCAGCTTGAACAAAATGCTTCTGCAGAAAAACAGAATGGCAGAGGCTGGGAAGGAACCTAGGTGCAGCTTGGGAGATAAATGCTGGGTGGGAGCCAGGCAGATTCACAGGGAGGCGAGGTGGAACTTCTGGTCCATTTCTTTGGTAACAGTGCAGGTTGGGATCGAGCTCCTTGAGGTTTTCAGCATCCAGGCAGCGGGGTATCCCTGGGAAAAACTCACTCCACCTTAGCAGGCCAGAGATGGAGATGACAGAGTGGCTGATGGAACCCCAAGGGACTAGAAAAGGTTACAGGGGTTGGGTCCTTGACCTGGTTGTTTAGGGAACACTTTAGGACTAGGAGCTCATGAGAGGGTATAATGGCATATGTCAGCACTTGCTGTCTTGGTCTGATCTGAGGCCCAGCTGACTTCTGAGAGCAAGAGCAGAGGAGTTTGTTTCCAGAAAACTGAGCAGGCAGGTGTGTAAGAGCTTCTGAGCTGCTCACCTATATTTCTGCTGCCTCTCCTTAATTTCGGCTTGGCTCTGGGCACAGAGCAGAGGGTGACTGTCCTGCCAGATGACTTTGGCTGGAGGAGGAAAGGAAGGAGCAGGGGTCTTGTCCCCACCCCTCTAACCCCAACTTTTCCTCCACCTCTCCTAGGGTGGAGGCTTCTCTGAACTGTACTGTGGACCCCAGGCTCTGGCCTCTTGGTCTGTTGTACCTCTTCCTTCAGGAATAGAGAAGCCCTCACCCGACCCCTCCTCCATTCAAGGCAGACCATCCTCATCTTCTGCACCGGGAGTTTGTCCCCTGCCATGCATCGACCCAACGCAACAGCCAAGACCATGGAAAGGGAGCCTAGAAGAGTTGGTGGGAAGAGAAAAGAGGAGGGGCCATGGCCATGGGATCCAGCCCCAATTGGTAGCCCTCTCCCCTGTCTCGCCATCCTTCTCTTTTTTCCACCAGCCCCTGCCTCCTCTTGTCACTCCATCCCCCAACATTCTCACCCTATCTCCTGTCAAGCAGATCCTTCCTTCCCCCATTAGTCTTCCACTAGCCCCACCCCAGAATGATTCTTCTCTAGCATCTCATCTTCCCCTGACCCTCTTGTCACCCAAGCCGGTCTGCCCTCCTCTGCCTTCTCCCTCCCCACTGAGTGGCCACATTGGCCTCGCGAATCCCACTTGCACCCCACCCCTCGCCTCACGTGAGCCCTCGCGCAGCACCAGGGTCCCCGCCCCCTCCAGCCACTCATAACAGGGGAGGCCAAGCGGGGCGCCCCGAAACGGCTTCAGCTGGAACCAGCAGCAGACCAGGCGTCAGGGGCCAGGGGCCGGAGAGGACCTAGCAGAGGCAGGGGGGCGCCTTATGCAGGAGCACGGGGGCGCAGCAGGAGCACGGGGCCCATGTCCTCTGGGAGCGTCACCTGGAAGACCTCCTCCTCCTGGGGGTGCGGGGCAGGAGAAGGCTCATGTGGGTGCAGGGCGATGGCAACCGAGGGGGCCGTCACAGATGTCGGCTGAAGTCCTTCCCAAAGTTGTCTTTCCATAGGGCTGGGCTCTCTCTTGCAGGTCCCACCAGGCTTACTCACACGTTGTCCCAGGCCCCCGAGCCCAGAAAGGAGCCGGTGGACACGTGACCCGGTACTCATCCATAGCCGCCTGTCGAGGGTGCTCTTGAGAACCGAACCGCAGGAATAAAGGCAGAGGTTGGCCTGGCCGGGGCGAGGGGTTTTGAGTCTATATAAAGAGACAGGGCGAGGGGTTTTTGGAGACCTGGGCACCTAGCTTGGACTCCGGTGACCCTGTGCTCTCCAGAGACAGCGCCACCCAGAGAGTCCCGCGCACGGCGCCCTCCGCGGAAACTGGCCCTTCCATGGTAGCCTCCCCGTCTTCTAGGTCTCTGCTTAGCTCGGAAGATAGTCCCTGCTCCTCCTTCAGGTGGCTCGGGTTGGCCAGTTCCCAGAGAACTGGCGCCCTCCTCTGTTTCCACCCTGTCCATGCCCCGCCCTTGAGGCAGTGTCTTTGTGAACGACTTGAAGTAATGGACTCCAAGTCTTGCCCTGTGGTCCCCAGCCAGCCCTTGCTCAGGTTTTTGTTCCAGGCCTTACCACTTTCCAGCTCAGTGTGGACAGTGAGGACAGTGGTTGGAGTGTTCTGTTTCCTGTCCTCCCGCCGATGTAGTGAGCCAAGGCTTTGTGCAAATTCCAGCATGGATGGGGTGGGGGACGCTGGGAGAGGTCGGCTGTGAGGGAAGAAGGGAGAGGCTCTAGGCCTTGGTCTGGGGTTTTGTTTTGTTGGTACCGGGGATCGAACTTGGGATCTTGCGCTTGTGAGGCAGGCAACGGAACCACTGAGCTAAATCCCCAGACTTCCAACCTGACTTAAAAAAAAAAAAAAAAAAATATATATATATATATATATGTGTGTGTGTGTGTGTGTGTGTATATATGTATATATATGTGTATATATATGTGTGTGTATATATATATGTATATATGTATATATACATATATGTATATATATGGAATTGAACCCAGAGACTGCACTGAGCTACATCCCCACCCCCTCCCTTTTATTAGAGACAGAGTCCAACTCATCATCCTCCTGCCTCAGCCTCTAAGAGTGCTGGGTTTACATTCATGTACCACCTTGCCAGCTTCAAAGAATAATTTTTTAAAAATTAAAAGCACAATCCAGGCAAGTCAGAATAAATACAAGTTTAAAATATTTTCCAAATGGTTCTAAGAACATTTGAGGTGCTGGCCATGTATGGCCAATATAATAAAGAAATAGTAGGATATAATTACTGGGTTAGATACAAAACTAGTTAATGTCATACAGCAATAAACTATAGTATTGGGGTTATCATTTTTGTTACACCCAGTGAGAGAGAACCAACCAGAGACCGATATTAAATCCACACTGGAGTTTATTACTGGCCAGGACCCGAGCTGAGCATCGGACTCGAGCCCCGACTAGGGGGAACTAGGGGGAGACTAACATGTTTTATACACCTTTGAGGCCAACAGTTTCTAGGCCCCCCTATGGGATAAAACTAGCAAAGCAAGCAAAAGGTACAGAAGCGGAATGTCCTGCCATCAGAACATTTGTAAAACAATAGTTGATTAATTGTTGTTTCTAAAAGACTTTCTAAGGGGAGGAGATTTCTAAGCTTCCTCCTTTTAAGTTCACCTAAAGGGCAGGCAGGGGGGTTGTTCAGCAGCAAAATGCAGTCTGTTTTGCTAACTAGGTCCTTCATTCCCCACTGGTTCTTGTAACTTAATCAAATCTTTGATTTCTGTATTTATTCTTCGGCTTCTTCCTCTAAAACATCTTCTAAAATCTCATAATTCTGTCTCAACACCATCAGTTTAACTGCATCAACCCTCTGTCTAACATATTTAGTCAGAGCAGTTATAATACAAGGTCCCACGAGCAAAAGCAGAAGTAAGATAACTAAGGGGCCTGCTACAGCAGAAACTAGGGTAGTTAACCATGGGGACCAGACAAATAGATTTTGAAACCAATTTTGATCCTTTTGTTGAGCATATTTAGTCTTTAAATTTTCCCTGACCATAGCTAAGGTATCTCTAATGACACCAGACTGATTAGCATAGAAGCAACAGGGTTTTTTTCTAGGGCTACACATAACCCTCCTTGTTTTATGAACAGGAGGTGAAGTCCCCTTTGATTTTGCAGGACCATCTCAGCTAGGGAATCAACCTGGTTTTCTAATCTGGAGATTGAGTCTTCCAGGTGACCTAAATCTCTGGCTACTTGGTGGCTTAGGGCTTTAAAATTTATGTCCTGAAGGATCAGGGAGGAAGTTCCAATAGCCGCTGACCTGGCTATTCCTAATCCCACCAGAATGAGCACTAAAACGGGGGCAGCCCGTTTACTCCTATAGTGTTCAGTGATTAATCCCAGATGTTTGCAGCCCCCTTTTTTATTATAATACAAGACTTGGGGAACAACATACACGGTGACACAAAATAAAGTGGCAGATCGGGTAGCCAAGACTGACTTGGGAATGTATTTAGTCAAGTCCTCGGTGCAAACAAACCAAGCATATCAGGACCAGGTCTCCTGGCTTGAAATCGTGGGGTTGGAACATCGCAAAGGGTTTTTCTCAAGCCTGTTGTATTGTAGCCTGGATCTCGCTCTGAAGAATCTGTAAGGCTTGAAGAGACTGAAGTAAAGAGACACAAGAACTCTCTGTTATCTGTTCAAGGTTTAACTTAGGGAGGAGTGGCAGTGGCCTCCCATACAAGATTTCAAAAAGGGTAAACTTGTCAACATATGGGATACATCTAACTCTTAACAAGGCTAGAGGAAGCAGATCGGCCACCTACCACCAGTTTCTAGAACATATTTAGTCAGGGTTTCTTTCAGGGTCCTATCCATCCTTTCCATTTGCCCTGAACTTTGTGGGTGATAGGGACTGTGTAACTTCCAATTGATATGTTGTGCCCTTGCCAACACTTTGGATATCTGTGCCGTGAAGGCAGGCCCATTGTCGGACCCCAGGTAATGAGGGGTGCCAAATCGGGGAACTATCTCCTGGAGCAAAACTTTAGTCACTATGTTGGCTGATTCTCCATGAGTGGGGAAAGCTTCTACCCAATCTGAGCAGGTGTCAAACAATACCAGTAAATATTTGAACCTATTGTTGGATTTTATTTCGGTGAAATCAAGTTCCCAATGATCCCCTGGCTCTCTTCCCCATAGTTGATTACCTTCGCTCCTTGGTCTTGCCTTGGAGTTTACCTGTGTACACACCTGACACCTGGAACTGATGTCCTGGACCATAGAGGTCAGTCCTGGGATTGAAAACTTAGAGCTCATTAGTCTTTTTAACTTTGATTCTCCCAGGTGAGTTAAGTGATGTAACTGATGAACAAGTTGTCACCCCAGGGCCGGGGGGAGACAAATTCATTCGTTTGTCCCTTCCCACCAGCCTGAGTCCAATTTTGTACCCCCTCGCTTTTGATTTTCCTCTTCCTCTTCCGGGGTATATGTGGGTCTTTCTGGGAGGTAGCCAAAGGGTCAGATGGGCAGAATGTCTATTGGCCCCACTGATTCTCTGGCCACTCATTGGGCCGCATCATTGGCCTCTCAGTTACCGTGGGCCTCGAAGCTGTCTCTTTTTTGGTGGCTTTTGTAATGAATAATGGCCAATGCCCTGGGTTCCCAAATTGTCTCCAATAAGGCCAAAATTTCTTTTTTATTTTTGATAGTTTTCCCTTCTGATGTCAATAGCCCTCTCTGTCTGTAGATGTTGCCATGCACATGGGCAGTGGCGAATGCATACCGGCTGTCAGTGGAGATGTTTACAGCCTTGTCTCAATCTAACAGGGCTTGAGTTAAGGCTATTAGTTCAGCCCTGTGCGTTGAAGCCCCCCGGCTTAATGCCTGTGTCCAGTGCACCTGTCCTCCTGGACTGACTATGGCCACCCCTGCATACCTGACTCTGTCTTCCATGAAGTTATTTCCGTCGGTGAAGAAGGTCTCTGGGCTTTGCAGGGGAATGTCAGGCAGGTCTGGGCGATTGGTGGTGGAAGTTGTCAGAGTGTCCAGACAGTCATGGAGGGGGATGCATGGCTCAGAGTCTGGGAGTAAGGTGGCTGGATTAAGGGCCATTTCTCAGGTGAATTTGATGTGTGGAGCATCCAGCAACAGGGCCTGGTACTGAGTCAGGTGGGCGCTGGAGAGTCATTGTTCGGGGGCTCCTCTCAGCAACATCTCCACCATATGGGGTGTGGTGATGACCAGGTTCTGCCCCAGGCTGAGCTTATTTGCCTCTTTGACCAGGAGGGTGGTGGCTGCAACTGCCCTCAAACAGGTAGACCATCCACTTGCCACAGGATCAAGTCTTTTAGACAGGTAGGCCACAGGTCTGCTCCAAGACCCTAATGCCTGAGCTAGCACTCCTTTGGCTATGCCCCCTCTTTCAGCCACAAACAACCAAAAGGGCTTGGTGACATCAGGTAGGACCAGGGCTGGTCCCGATACTAAGGCTTTCTTTAAAGCCAAAAAGGCACTTTCTCCTTTTCTGTCTGGAGGGATTGTCTCTCCTGCCTGGAGTGCAGCAATAGTGACTTTCCCCAGTTTTTTGGCTAGGACTTCCTCGGGGGCATCGCGGTTGTCATAAACTTTCTGGGCTATGTTCAGGAGTTTAGTCCTATTCTTTCCCTCAAATCCCTCCAATTTCTGTAATTTCTTTCTAATGTCTGGGGCCGACTGGGAAACAAAGGCCAAATTTAAAGCTGCTGCATTTTTGGGAGCCTCTGGGTCAATAGGAGTGAAAACTCTATAGGCTTCCAAGAGTCTCTCTAAAAACGCAGTCAGAGACTCCATTTTTCCCTGGCAAACCTCACTTACCTTACTCAAATTAGTGGGCTTATTGGCAGCTTCCTGGAGTCCCCCTAATAAGTGATAGCAGTAGGTCCCCAGCCTCCTCCTACTGTCATCATCACTGGTGTCCCATTCCGGGCACCGGAACAGGACCGTTGCTTCAGCCCTGGCCAAATACCCCAGGGTTCTGGAAGTGATGCTGGGGTTTGGCCCCAGGGCCTCTTTGACTGCCTGTTGATAAATGCAGTCCTGTTCCTCAGTGGTGAACAGGATCTGTAAAAGCTGCTGGCAATCATCCCAGGTTGGCTGATGGGTATGAAAAACAGACTCAAGAAGAGATTAATGCCTGAGGTTTTTCAGAGAAGGGAGGATTTTGATGTTTCCAATTGTAAAGATCACTAGTTGTAAAAGGGACATAAATCAATCCTCCCCCAGGCTCTGTTTGCTTTAAAGGAGAAAGGGAGGAGGAAGACAGGGCTGATGGACCATAGTCCTGTCTCAATTGAGTATGGGGAGGTGAG